ATTTGAGTGAAGGCTTGCCGAAAGCACGCGGTGCTAGGGTTGTCTGGGGGCACGCCCCCCCTCCCACCTAGAAAATTCAAGCAGCTGTGTAGTCACAGGGGAAATCCCCAGTTTCTACAGCCTTCTTCTACTTTCTTCTGCCTGCAGACTGACATTTTTATTTTTGGCCATATTTTACTAGTATCATAACATTATTCAGTGGCTGAACGGGGTGGGAGCGGCCTTCTAGATCCACAACTGCTGGTAATACACAAACGTGTGTTCGCGCGTGTGAGTAAGCCGTAAGGAAACTCTCAGCTCGTTTGGATTTGCGCGCGTGGACCAAGGGAAATTCGGAAAGTGGTTACCGTGGCAACAATAAACAGGGAGATCGCACGAGGCTTAAGTAACCAAAAACTTTACAGCGCAGTAAAAGAAAATGCGAATTCCGAATTCCGAGATGCACCGTCACATTCGATAAATCGATAACCGGAATGTTTAAACCCGTATTCCGAGTTGGACTCGATCAGACCGATAACCGCAGGCGCATGCTGATTACTGATTAGTCTTCACGTTCAACAGGGAACCGCACAACGTAAACAAAAACTTTACCAGCGCAGTAAAAGAAAATGCGAAAGCCGATCTGATTATACAAATGACTGGGTGGTTGAATATCAACTGATGGTTGGTTTCCACGTTTCTGACACTATCGGATCGGGTCAGATCGGGTCGGATCAGGTCATGTCGGGTCATGACGGGTCATGCCAGGTCATGCCAGGTCATGTCGGGTCAGGTCGGGTCATGTCAGGTCATGTAGGGTCAGGTCGGGTCATGTCAGGTCATGTCGGGTAATGTTGTGTCATGTCAGGTCATGTCGGGTAATGTTGTGTCATGTCAGGTCATGTCAGGTCAGGTCGCGTCATGTCGGGTCATGTCAGGTCAGGTCGCGTCATGTCGGGTCATGTCAGGTCAGCCTCGACGATCATGTCAAACTAATGTCAGATCATCCGTCGCATCATGTCGCATCAGTCGGGTCATGTCAGGTCAGTCAAGGTCAGATAGGTTAGTCAGGTCTGATCGGGTCAGGTCAGCGTCAGGTCAGGTCAGATCTGGTCAGTCACTCATACTAACCTCACCAGAAATAAAACGCTTGGTTAGACCGGCCGGTGAAGCATACGCCTCCTCCCCCCCCCCACCACACCACACTCCCCACCCTCCCGCGCTCAGGGTCCTTGTCTCCCCCTCCCATGTTTACCCTGTCCTAGCATCCGTCACTAGCTGCTCCCCCCCGCCAGCATAATGAGACCGTCTTAATAGCAGCGGCCTTGATTGCCAGAGTAATAGCATCGCCTTAAAGTGATTACGTCACCGTAAATATATAAAAAAAATCTATTTTTTCACAAAATATAAGTGATTCTGTTCACTTTTTATGGTTAAATTGCTGCATTATACTTCTTATTTTACTATATTGTTCGATGTGAACATATACTCGTGACGCATGCATAGCCCATAGCAAGCAATTAATGTTATGAACACTAATATCAAATCGACCAGGTTTTTTGGATTTTTAACTAGTTGAGAAACATATCAGATCTTATCAGGTAAGAATTTGACGATACGTTTAGTTTCGTTAGTTCTTACTTTTAATGTATAAAAATGGCAACCAAAATTTTACAAATTTTACCCTAGAAAATTCGTGACGTAATCACTTTAAAATAGATGGAGAGAAAATTCTGATTAATGAGCAAGTGTTTAAGCAAAGTTCATTATTGAACGCGTAAACCCCGGCGCGGAAGCACGTCTGCATATTGGCAAGTTAATTGCGAACGCTCTGCATTTCATATTTGAAAAATATCCAATCTTAACTCGGCAGCGCGTCTATTTGAACTTCCGTGATTGTGTACAAGGCAAATAACGGTCGAAGCAACGTTTCTGTTTGCGTCAAATAAACTATTAAGACGTTACTTACACTTAATCGTGAACATCAGGGAACTGTATATAATAATGGAAGTCTTTTATCATGAATCGGAATAGCTCTGCTCAAGTACACAATGCTACTGCAGAGCAGACAAAGATGGAAAGTTGTGTAATAACATCAATTTGCGCGCTGTCAATGCCACGGTACGACTAAGCGTTCTACTGGGAGTGAGTTACCGCGGAGCTCTGACTGAAGATTACTCTCTCTCTCTCTATCCAAAGTCCCTCTTCTCTCTCAGTCTCTCTCTCTCTCTCGTCTCTCTCTCTCTCAGCTCTTTCCCCGAAGTCCTCTCGTCTCCTAGTCGTCTATCTCTCTCCTCTCTCTTGGTCCACGGTCTCTCTCATTCTCCTCTTCTCTCTCGTCCTCTCTCTCCATCTCTTTCTCTACTGAGGGTTCCTCTCTCTCCCTCTCCTCTCTCGTCTCTCCTCTCTCTTCTCTCGTCTGTTCTTTCTCTCTCCAGTCTCTCTCTTTCTCTCTCCCCAGTCTCTCCGCTCTCTCCTCTCTCTCCTCCCCATCTCCATTCTGGGCTCCGTTTCTCCTCGTCTCTTCTCTCTCTCTCGTCTCCTGCCCCTGTCCTTCTCGCTCTCAGTCTCCTACTCTGTACGTCCTCGCTCTCTCTTCTCTGTCTCTTCGCTCTCTCTCTGTTCTCTACATCAGGTCTCTCTTCTCTCTTTTCTCCTCTGTCTTATTCGCTCTCTCTCTCTCTCTCTCGTCCGCTGTCTTTCTCTCATCATCATCCGGTCTCGTCTCTCTCAGGATCTGTCTCCTCTGTTTCTCTCTCACGCCGCTCTCTCTCCCAACCATGCTTGCTCTCTCTCTCCGTTTCTCTCTCTTCTCCTCCCCTCAATCTCTGTCTCTCCTCGTCTCTCTCTGTTCTCCTAGGTCTCATTCTCTCTCACTTTCTTTCTCTCTCTCTCCTCTATCGACCAACCCGGTTATTACGAGTTACAGCCATTTATTGCGAGGGTATCTATAATAGTGCATGTAGTTATAAGCAAGCCTTGCGACTCACCTACTCATGCACCTCATGCCGATCAACATCATCGCTTATAGGAACGCTAAATCCCTCACACCACTGAAATGTAGTTGCTCACACTAACATGGGTTCTTCCATCCGTTCATACTCAAAATTCAATTAGGCAGAGAGAAAAGCAGACAGACGGATGGATGAATAGAGAGACGGACGGACGGACAGACAGACAGCCGGATGAACAGATGAACAAAACACAGACGAGACGCGGAGATATCGAGCGAGATGACGGACAGACAGACAGATCCGGATAAACATAAGAGACCGGATGAACGTAGGACGGACGGGGGGGGGAGCGGACGAAGCAGACAGGCTCAGACAGACGCGAAACGGTGGGCATGTGAATGGATGGATAGATGGTTGAATGGATAAAGGGAGAGACCGACAAACAGACATACAGGCAGTCAGACAGACTGTCAGACAGACGCGCGCGTGTACGTATTACATGGATCATTAAGCTGTATAGGTTGCTCGTACGATAAATGAAAACACGCGAGGAGATAAGCCGCAGTAACTAATAAATAATAAATTTCGCAGACGAGTAGTTATGATAAGTCTACGATTAAATTTATCGTTCAGTAAAGAAGTTTCTGATGTAAAGGTTACTTTGTGCAAAAGAAATGTATGCGATGCATTTTATCTTCTCCCCGACGAATGTCATTCACACTAAGAGCATATATACAGAGGAACAGTGATTAGTCACCATCACGCCGAGAACCTCATCTTATATCATCATATCTTCCTCCTCTCTCTCCTCCTCTCTCCTCCCTTCTTTTCTCCCCTCCCTCCTCCCCTCTCTTCTCCCGCTCTCTCTTTCTCTCTCTAATCTCTTTCCTTCTCTCCCTCCTCCCTCTCTCGCCCCTCTCCCTCCGTCGCCTTCTCTCTTCCCCTCGCTTCGTCTCTCTTCTTCTGCTTCTCGACGGGCCCCTCTCTTCTCTCTGCTCTATCCTCTCTAAGCTCTCTCTTCTCGTTTTCTCCATCCTCTCCATTCCCAGTCTTTCTCGTCTCTTCTTATTCTTGTTTCAATTTCTCTATTTATATCCTTTTCTCTTTTCTCTCAGCTCTCTCTGTTGTCTTCTT